GAATCATAGAATTTAGAAGCTAATCAAGCCCCATTCTCTTCTGTCACAATTGTGAAACCTGGTCCCGAGAGACTAAAGAGCCTGTCTAATGTCACACGTGTTGTTATCCCTGAAGCTGAAACCTGAAACTCTTACTATCATTTCAATATTCTTTTCTTCGATATACATAATTTTCATTGTCTCTTAAATGAATGTGGCAGGATATAAATGCTCAGAGTGTATTCACAGGGAGACTCCGTTTTTCTTTCTGTTCTTTGTAACAGATATATGGAATGCCACTATGCCCCCTCATCTTATGGGAGGGTTTGAAGATTGAGCTCTCTGCCCTCAAGGGAACAGGACTTGGTGAGGAGTTGCTGATAATTCTTGCTATAGATTTGTAGAGTCGCTACAATATGTGACGGAATAACAAAAGAATGGATTTGGAGCGCACAGGTAAATATGAAGACAGAGGGAGGGATTCCCCTAGACTAACATGAGTACTTAGAAGAAGTAAACAGTAAACAGTAAACAGTCAACACGCTTATCTGCTAACCGAAAGGCTGGAAGGTTGAGTCCATCAGAGGTGCCTCGGAATAAAGGTCTGGTGATACACTTCTGAAAAGTCAGCCATTGAAAACCCTATGTAGCACAGTTCTATTCTGAAATATATGTGGTCGCCTTGAGTTGAAGTTGACTCTACGGCAACTGGTTACCGGTTAGAAGAAGCTGAACAAGAAATTTTCCAGAGAGTAGCTTTGAAAGCTGAGAACTCGTAATGGGAGAAGACCCCTTTCCGGGGGAAGAGACAGGTGGCACTGCAAGGAACACTGTTCCAGTGCCCAGACATACACACTACCACCCAGCCTGCATTCAGGGGAGGCACTTCCACCGTCCTTGCCTGCACACTGCGTTGACATGGATCACTTCAATACTGATGACGTAGCAGAGTGATAATTATCCACGCTCCAAGACTTTGTTTGGTCCGTGTCTGAGTGGCTCACGTGTTTCTACTCCTCACCGCACAATTCCTACCTCAGCCCAGTTCAAAATGCCCCAAGTGAACCATCACCCTAGAAAAGGGCATGGGGCCATGAGTGTCTAATAGGATAGTGAGGTGGAGGAGAAGAACTCCTCATGTTTGTATCTGGAAGGACTGAAATGAACAAAGTTTAAGTGCCCCAGAACTGAGACAACGGTTATATTAAAGTTTACCATCTCATATAATCTCTTCTTCCTAAAGAGTTTACTTTCACTGTTTTATAAGAATTCAGGACATCTAAATTATTTCTAGCTTTGTTTTGTTTTTTTCCTAGATGAGTAAGAAGAATGCATACAGGAACTTCTCTTGTTAATTTATAAAATTTAAAATTATCTAAAGCAGAAACCTTTTGTCCATGTGTATGTATTATATATGTACGTGTGTTTCTCTGTCCTTTGAATAATGCAACAGATAAAAACCAACCACTTGGAGAGGTTACAATTTGAAACTCAAAAATGAGAAAAACAACAAACATAACTGTATGGTCTGAACACTAATGTTATTTCATCTAACTGTAATCATTTGAATACCAAATATACCATTCTAAATGGCTAAGCTGCATTCAATAGTCTTTAAAAAGCCAACAAATGTACCCTGAAGAATTACCAATCACATAGTGGAAAAACAAAACTAAACTCTGAACTTGCCATTTACAGTTTTAGATCCCAATAGATACTGGAACTCCTCTGCCTCCCTCCAAAGGAAGACTGCGTTTCTTTTCTTTTCTTTCACTTACTTGCATGGACACAGAAGCTACCAAAAGGGGATGCTCCAAAGACTAGGTGAAAGCAAACGAGTAGCAATAAAAAAAATAATAAAGAGATACATGAAGAGTAAAAGACTGTATAAATAAAAATCTTCCAGGGATAATTTTTCCCTCAAGTTCAATATGGCAAAAGATTCCCTTTAAAAGAAGCAAACAGTTGTCTTGAAACTTAATTACATT